GATTTCCTGCTGATATTTGCTTCAATAGTAAAGCTGTGTGGTACACAAATTTGGCAACTAATTGTCAATAGAGTTTGCTTCAGCATGGCAGAGAAATGTCCATGTTTTATTGAAAATACCTTGAAGAAATAATTACAACTATAACCTAATTTAGGAAAGTTGTCATAGTTAAACGGATGTGTAGGTGTAAAATGGATGTGAGGTCTATAAAAGTTTTTCTACAAAAAAAAAAGTCATATTTCAAGGTTTAAGACTGGCCGCTGCACATGTCAAAGTATATATTTTACTGCATTTAAATCTGCAGACTGTACACAGTATGGTCTTATTTAAGTAAAGCACTTGCATTGCACTACAAATAATGCTCACTGTATCTATTCTCATATAAATTTCATTTTACATTTGGCCACATGCTAACTAGCTATTGTTAAAAAAATAGATGTTATTGATGGGGTTAAATGTAAAGTTGATCATTCATAAAGTGTTAGACTCTTGTTTTCCATTTCCAGTAGAAATTATGATTAAACAAAATAATTATATCTTGATATCCTGAGCTTCTTCATCATTTTATTAATGTAACCAACTTACAGTCTTCATTCTGCGAAGTTTACTCGCTTGGATTTACCCACAAAAACTCCTTTCTGTGTTAAAAAATCTATAAAATTTTACAAGTCTTCTGCTGTTTCTAGTCATACTTTTACCAGCGTGTCAGCACATCATCGACCATTGTCAGGTGTGCATTTCCTGTTGAGATTTACAGTCCAGACTTTTGCCTTTTTGCGGTCTAGCAAGGAGTTGGTCCAGAACCTCTGGGCTTATAAAGGGATTTGTTGCAGTGTGCGGTTCTTGCCAATAAACATGGTTGTTCATTATAAAAGCCTGAGGTCCTCACTGCCCAAAATAAAACAGGCTTTTTTCTATACATAATCATCCTGTGTGGCCAGGAGTTTACTCTGTGCAGCCAACTAGCCAACACTCCGCAATTTGGTTTTTATTAGGCTGACAAAGCCAAGAAGGAACAAATGCCCAGTATTAAAACACTGTATGCAGACAAGGCTATTTAAATTTAAACATGACCAACTCTGCAGTGTTTTAAAGCCATAACACAGCCTGGTTAATGTTAGCACTGCCTTCATAAACAAGCAAAGCCCATGCTCTGTATTTCACTGAATTGGCTCTTTGTATTTCAGTCTCTCTATATTGTGTTGTCAGCTTTTAGTGAGAAGCTGAGAAGTGAGAAAAGTATACATTTATAATGATTAACTTTCTAGTATTCTAGTAATAACCCATAAGAAACGACCTGTATCTGTCAGAGGAATCTTTTGTTCTTCTAAAATGTCACAACACCGAAGCAGCTTGTGCTCTTTACCTTGTCTACAGAGGTGATAGTGATTACCACCAAGGAGGTCCAGAAGATGATGAGCACAGACCCCAAAATGAAACTGGATGTGAAGATAAAACTGGATATAGTTTGTATCCATGAAGATGGCGACATGGGAACTGCAGACGCTCTCAGGCACATCCAGCCAAAGATCAAGGTGTGGTTTAAAAAATAATTTGCTGTCAAACATAATTTATTATTTAGTGTAAATCATTTAAATATTTAATCTATAAATATAAAGAATTACTTTGCATTTTTGTTTTGGATATTTGTCATGCAGCTAGTTTATTTTTTTAAATTTTGCTTTGAAAACATTATATACTGTGTATATCTAATACAAATAAGCTAGTTCTGCAGTTACCGTTTATAAAATTAATTTTAGTTTGTTAAAATTCAGGGACTGTCTTAAACACCAGGTCACGACCTTTTTAATATCTTTCAAATGTTCTTTCAGTTTGGAAAACTGACAGATTATTGCCTTAATGTGAACGTGGTACACCTTATATATTAGCAGTTGTTTGAGTATTCTTTTAGATTTAATTGAATTCCAGGCCAGACTATGGCCAATATAATGTAAACTAGTTTTTGTAAAGAAAATGTGTTCTTGTAAAACTATCCAAATATACGTTTAAGGGTTAAAAACCATAGCCTTGGTACGGGTACAGTCTCCCAGGTGACCAGTCATCCATGTCATTTTCTTTCTCCAGATGGCCACCACTCGTGTAGAGCCTCATTTCACCATTTTTAAATACACACAAACATCCGCGGGCACACACGTTTACACATGCTGACATGATATCCATGACCCTCGACCCCAATTTCCAGACCCCCTCTGTATCCTGCCTGCTGATCCCGCCATCCCTTCCCTCATCACATTCTCTCCAAACAGATGAGGTCATGGTGGAGGCTCACGACTGCCTGCACCGCCAGTTTACCCAGCGCACCATTGAATCTCATCCTGTAGTCATGCACATCTGGTCAACATTTGTATTTGGATATATACGTCGCCCCTCTGTACGTGCCATGGTTCCGACCGGCCTCCTGTGACTGTTAAAACATGTTTTATGAGGCTTTGTGTAGTTAATGTAGTTCTAAAGCAATTACGCCTGTTTACTGTTCAGCTATCAGTGATTTTCAAATAGTTGCTGACTCGTCAGTATTGTTTACACCACGTCCCAACTCATTGTAGGGCGTTAAACAAAGATTCAGTCTGTTGACTCTTTTCAAGAACAGTTATGTGTCCAGGTGCAGGTTTCCGCTCTAATTAGCAGAAATCTCTATTTTATTTAAGTATTTTTTGTTTTTATGTAACTTAAAGAACAGAAATAACACTAATGTTTTTAATGAGGTTTAGTGGATGGACAGATACATTTATGTCGTGACATAGATTTATGAATCTTTTTCCTGACCGCAGTGCCTATTGTTCCTCACTTAACTGAAGAACAATGGAGGATATCAGAGTTTCCATTTAACAAATTTAGGGTTATTATATAGATATATTTCAGTTAGAATAACCATAAATATAATGAGGATTGACTGTGTTACAGAAACATAACTGACAGGCGATTTGAACGGTGATGATTTCAAGTTTCCATTGTGAGATTTTCCTCATAATTGAGGTAATAGCTCGAATGTGGTTTGGTGGAAACATTGTGATATTTCTTTAGCAATCCATTCAGTTAAAATTACAATGTAATTGAAGAATTGTGAACATATTTTGGCCAAAATGCTGATTTTGAATAATATTTTAAACCAAAGACTTCTCATATGATTTCAGTTCCAACAGCCACACTGGAAACATTTTCAGATATCGTTTTTTGTTTCTTTTTTAATTCAGTGTGTACCATTTCAGACAAAGTGGGAAACAAAAGGGTTATTCGAGTTTTCACAGCAAAATCCACTAGCTTTACTTTTGAAAACAAATTCGTCAAAGATCCAAAATACCACATTTGTTTTGACAAGTTTTAATGTTTTTCTTTCCTCCTGCCTCTGAATGGGTCTGTGAAGATCCTCATTATTTGGTTTGCCTAAAAGTTCTTTAACAGATGTACAACGTAACCACACACACACACACCGACACACACACACACACACTTAAATCGGACCAGCTCCAGCATGCTCCCATTGAGAATAGTCAGCTTCCTAATCCTTTGAGCAGCCAGTTAGATTAGAGGCATTGAGTTACACACACTCACACAGTGGAGGGTGACGAGTGAAGAACTGAAGCCATGGCCTGCGAAATCCCTGCACAGAAATCAGTCAAGCTGTCAAACCCATGCATGAGTACAGTACAGACTCAAACACACACACACACAATCACAGTCACTCATCTCTTTACACAAACACCCTCCGATGAGGGGATTTGGTGTGTCCGATCAAAAAAGGCTACTTACAGGAATCATTGTGAACTCATAGTTAGCACAGTGGGTTGCTCCTCTTGATTAGTGAATAGAGAGATTACAAGCAGCATATTTCATTTTGTTCACTCTTCAAACAACGGAGCTTCACAAAAGTGGACGGATATGCCTGATTATTCCTCAGGTCTTTCACCGTAATCCAAACCAGTGAAAAGAGAACTTTTTTTCTTCCTTTGGTTGTCTAAAGCCTCTCTGCCATGTTTTTTCCTTAAGACTTAATCACCTGGCAGATTGAGATGGCCTCACCTAAGAACACGCACACATTGGGGGGGTCACGGGTTCATAGGTGAAACTTGTTGGTTAAATATATGAGGGGAAATTATGAATTAATTCCTAAAGTTTGTTAAAGACGACTCTAAAGCACCAGGTCAGAAAGGTTTATATGTATATGAAAATTTTAAAAATTAAAAAAAAAATTAATTTAAATACATATGAATTTGTGCATCAAATTAAGTATAAAACTTTAACAGTAAACAAAAATGCATTATTCTTCTTATTGGAATAGTTATAGTTAGTACAAAGTTTTGCTTTATTGCACGGACTTGAATTCTATGTGTGCGTGCTTGTGCGTATTAGAATCTGTATCAGTGTGTTTTGTGTGTGTCCGTGTATGTGTGTGGTCCTGACCTGTCCAGAGATTCTTGCTGTTGAAAGGCCAAAGTGTCTCCGTCCCTCCAGCTGACTCCACTCTGCTGCCGCCTGACTGAGTGCCTGTTTGAGGGGATTGTGTAGGACTTGTGTTTGTGTGCGCGTGCACATACATACATGCATGTTAGCCCTGTTACTGAATGTGTGTGTGTGTGTGTGTGTGTGAGCTTTCTTGTGTGTGATGGAGGGAGAAGAGTGTTGAAAGGTCTCAGTGTCAGCAGATCTCCCACAGACACCTCCAGGACTGCTGTGGCAGCTTCCTGTCGCCAGTTCCAGACCAGGTTATGCTCCACGTTACCCCTAGGTCAACTGCATGACCTTTGACCCGTGTGATGCCACCCCCTTGAGACGCACAAGCAGAGAGAGCTCAGCTGTTCAATGTTTCAAGACAGTTCTCGGTCACATTAGCCCATGCTGCGAACGTAAAATCTTTTTTTATTTCAATTTATTTTAGTGTCTCACTGACATTACTGCTCATCTGCTGGATTATAAGGCTGTGCAAAAAAATGTAATTTTAATTTTCAAATCAGATTTATACATCAAGTTATTCCTTATTGAAAAATCCCCAGATTCTTCTCACCCGTCACACACGGCTCCTCTGCTCTCACGTTCATTCTTTTCCATCCCTCCCTGCGTCACTGTTAGGGGGAGAACGATGTCTCTGTCGTTAGGTTTGCTGTAGCTAATGGTGGGATTAGTCTGTATGCTGACAGCCTTCATCACGGGACAGACAAATGGATACCGCATAATGACACACCAATGTGGGCGCTCCCACATCCAAACACACGCAGACGTGTTACATTAGTGAGAGCCGCTTTAGGTAACTGATAGCGGGGGCTCATTTTTTGATGTTTATTGTGAAGTGTGATGCTGCATAATTGTTGTTGTATTAATGTCTAGTATAACAATCTGAAAGGTTGTGCTGCTGCTCATATGTTGTTATGCACAGTACGCTGATCAAAAGAATCTTACTTAAAAATAAAAAAAATGTATGATGATTTCTCCACTCAGACTGACATCCTGGTGTTAAGCTGTGATCTGATAACAGATGTGGCACTTCACGAGGTGGTTGATCTGTTCAGAGCCCACAATGCAACACTAGCCATGCTTATGAGCAAAACCCATGAATTCACAGAGACAGTACCTGGACAGAAGGGCAAGAAAAAGACAGGTAAAAGATATTTATAATAAAATAAATGAACAATTTGGCACATCTAAAGTCATCTTTTTTTATTGCCTTTTTTCCCAGCTGAACAGAGGGACTTTGTTGGCGTGGACACGTCAGGAAAACGGCTGCTGTTCATGGCCAACGAGGCAGATCTGGAGGAAGGGCTGTCAATTAGGAAGTCTATTATGACAAAGTAAGTCAACTCGACAAAGGAAAAGTAATGCGTTGTAATCCATGTGACTCTGTGGCGGAGAAGTTCACAGCGGCAGCAGTAAAATCCAGGTAAGCTAGTGGTGTCTAGTCTAAACATGCAGGGGGCAGGAGGCACTATCCCCGTTTACCTGCTCTGGATTATCTGGGATTTTCCTGCTGCGTTTTACATTAGCTCTCTGAGACAGTGTTGTCTGGAAATAATGAGCTGGAAGCAAAATGTCCAGAAATGCACTAAACATTTATGTCGTAAACCCCGTGCAGGCCCCATTTAAATACTTTAGTAGTTAATTAAAAATAAATCACAATAATATATTTCCTTGTCATGTTGAGAACTCAACTAATGCTAATGGCTCCATTGTGAATTCATCAGTACAAGCCTGCCGTTAACAGCTAAGCTGGAAAGGTTTTTTACAGTTTGTGTACATGCTTCCACGTTCTCCCCATGTCAAATTCAAAATACTTTATTTATCATCCGTGGAATACTGTTGAACGTTTTTTTGTACATGTAATTTCTTTTACAATTAAAGGCAAAACCTTTGCATTTAGCAATAATTAATTTGAGAATATTATCATCAACCAAGGTTTTGGGCACTAGAGCTGACGTCCTCCACATTTTTCTGCACATTTTGTGTTAGCTCTAATGTTAATGATTAACTGAAGGACTGGCATCCTGTCCAGAACGTGCTCCACCTTCACCTGATGTCAGCTTGAATTCTGTACTCTTGAAAGGGATAAAGCAGTTTTACATTAATGCATGATTAAAATAGGAAACTGAGTGGATAACCTCTTAAGGTAGAACTGATGTTCTATCTGTTCTTATTAGTACCGTGACCTTTAAAAATATACCCTTCATGGCCTCCTTTGTAGACAGATTGTTGCGAAACCTGCGCAAAGTTAGCTCTGCGTGTCGCTGATTGTCTGCGCTTTGATGTTAACTATGTTGTGGAGATTCTTGTAGTCCAGAGAGAGCAGATGTTTAGGTTTCTAATCAGAGGCTGCCTGTTCCGTGGTGGGTGTGTGGGATTTTTTTTTCTGACAGGAAGAGTTCTTTAGGTAGGTTTTCGTTTCTTAGTCCCAAACTGCATGTATGTGTGAGAGCGGGCGTCTGGGGAGCTCGTAAATACTTCTTGGAGCCAAAGCCACTGTAAATTCTGGCCAATAAGAAGGATGCCAGAGCAGCTGCTTGCATGTTTCCCCTCATGTGAATGTTCTGTGTGTGTATATATATATATAAAATGTGTGGACACACACACACCCACAGAAACACAAACTCAAGGTAGACATCAGAGTAAAAACAGACTTTTATCTCAATACTATAGAAGTTAACAAATCAACAACAAATGTTGATTCAAACACAATTCACTGAACATCACAAAACATTTAACATCTATCACAAACGATACAAAATCAATTTATTTTATAAAGCATTGGTTTAGAGGCTACACAAACATGTTCTACCATTTTATTATTATTTATTACTCATCACAAGGAGCCCTCAACAGTCCTTGTGTCAATGATATAATAACAGTTAAACACCTGCTAGTGATTTAGTGAATATAAAAAGTCCTTGGTCATTGCAACAGCTCCTTTGATTATTGTCTTCTGTGTTTTTCTTTAAACACAGTTTATTATGAAGTCTTTATTTTTATCGTCTCCATTGGCCAAGAATGTCTGTCTGTCCTCAGAAACTTTTTGTCACGTGTTACATTTCCTGACTTTTTCAACTTTTGAACTGTGCAAGTCAACTCCTGCAGCAGTAATCCAGTCATTACATGGAGTTCAATACTTTAACTAACCTGATAGTGTGGAAACGGATTGCCTTTAAGTTAGGAATGTAGATGTGACAGATTTTATTAACATTTAGTTTTCCTTGAGCGTCTGAATTAATTTTGCGATAAACACATGCTCATTATTGCAAATTAAAGTTCAAGTGCTATTTATCTTTTCTATTTTTAATAACACTCGTTTAACAGAATGGACTCTAAAATGTCAAATTGAACTATTTTTAGTGCATTTTTGACATGAAATCAAGTGCATATTGATCATGTTGCATTATGAGTCAATATTCATGTTGAATGTGGTTCTGATTTCGTCATACGTAGGGCGTCACCTCACTACTACTCCAAAAAAGACTTTAACTTCAGCCTTATAACAGATTTGAATATGTTCTGTCAAATCTGTCAGAGCAGATTTTATAATGGAGGCAAAAGTTGAACATCCCAAGTAAACCCGTTCACTGCTGCTGGCTCTGTAGTGGAAACTCGACTAATGAGGACATTAACAGTCATTCTGCTGAGCTTGAGTCATCTTCCACTGTAAGGCTGAGGTTGTAACAAAATAAGACATTACGCTGTGTGTTTGTGTGCTTCTCCGGAGCGCGAGAGATGTGACTCCTCTCTCCCACTGAGGACTTTAGTGGTACTTAAGTAGTCAGTCATTAATCCAAGGATTGAGTCATCCTTGCCTGCAGAGGCAGTAAATTCCTGCTCCCCTTGACACTGAGGTCTACAGCATTTAGCTGCAACCAGAAATCACATGATGCGGCTGTTAGGAAAAGCAAGATGTTTACCCTTGTCCGGGAAATGCAAGATGTTTGGTGTGGGATTCTGCCTAAAAGTGTACACTAATAAATTAGCATGTGGCCGGGTCTCGGTGTGTTAAATCAGAAAGGGCTACAACTCGTTAAACACGGGGAAATATTTGAGGTTCCAAACAGTCACTGTGAATACGTCCCTATTTGAAATAAATAAACAGGTACAGGTAGTTCGTTTTGGAAATTGTGGCTTTGGAAAGTACAAAGTTTAGCTTGTGCCTGTAGTATTAGTCAAAATGCCAATTTTGGCAGTTTTTTCTTAGAAAAGGTTAAAGGTATAATATAGGGTTGTTCCCATATCAATGACGATATGGTGATTCTTAGTCAAAAGCCTAACATTATATTAACATTAAATATAGAAGAAGAGTAGACTTATTCTCTCCTTTGACTTTAAATCACTGAATTGACTGATTTTGTTTTTTTAGGGCTTCACTGTGCAACAACAGTTACCAATGCATAAATCACATAATTTGATTTATTTTAAATTTTACACAACGTTTCACAGACACAGGTCTGTGGTCCCTGAAACTGTAAATAAAAACGTAATGTCCACATGTTCTGTCAAAATAAAGTTGAGTTCCACAATTTCTCGTTCACCAAGACTGTAAGGGTTCCAGTTCTTGCATTTACTGTCACTTCAGTTGATCCACACACACAAATGTGCTCTTTGCTACAGTCCAGTTCTGTTTGCCCCGTTCACCCCTGTCCACGTGCAGATGTTGGACAGTGATGTCACATGCTGGGTGTTCCCATAAATTCTCCTACAGGCCACAAAATGCACTCACACTGACGCGCACCTGGGAGACGCCGCATGAGCAAATACATCTGACATCCGCAAAGCGTGACGGCGAGCACACGCACATGTGCTATAGCGCTTCTGAATAAAATACCTTAACACCGTCAAATACGCATAGAGTTGAATTTATGGTTTTCAACATCTGGTTGTGAAATATTTGTGACCGACTCTTTAGTCACTCTCGATGTACTGCATCACAGTAAAGACTGCGTGATTTGGATGAGGCTTAAATCAAGTGGTGCTGTTGCTATTTCTATAAAACAGGATTTTCAGAAGGAGAAATAATAATGATTTAGATTTAAATGTTTCCTTTAATACTCAGGTGTTGATACCTCTAATACTGAACCAATATTAAATGCCAACACAGTCATTCATGGTACCAAAGTGACTGAGGTACCATGAAAAACATGAATGACCCCTGCAGGTTTTATGATGTAATTACTGAAAGGACAGAAGATGAGGAAGAAGATGAGGAGGAGGAGGAGAGGAGAGGAGAGGAGAGGAGAGGAGAGGAGAGGAGAGGAGAGGAGAGGAGAGGAGAGGAGAGGAGAGGAGAGGAGAGGAGAGGAGATGATGGAGTTGATCCCTGCAGCACAAAATGGTTTTCTTTTGGTCTCGCTTCATAAATGTCACATTTCCAATCTGTAGCTGTGTCCATAGCCTTCACATCATAAATGTGGTGACATCTCAGGAGCTGACAGATGACATAGGGCAGAAGTGGGTGTTGTCAGACGTTTATGTAAAACTGAGCTTGTGTCTGGTTTCCGTCTAATGTCCTTGTAAAAAGGCTAATTATTCGTGGAGTTGAGGAGAGGAGAGGCACAACACAAAACAGAAACAATGTCATCGACTCTTCTCCTCCTGAATCCCACCTTGCTTTAGCCTTATGGACTGAACACAAGACGACGGTCTACCCCCTAAGATGACATCCATCCAGTTTTGTTTAACATAATAATATTATTCAGTGGAATATTTATAGTTCAAGTAAAATAATGTTAGCTTGTTGTCGTGTTTTCTGTGTAAAAGTACATGGGAAATACTTTTCAATTTTCTCATTCTAGTGATATATATAATTAGTTCTATTTGACAGTGAAATACTGTGGTACCTAACCATCTACCTGATTCTGTCTTTTATCTGCAGACATCCCAGGATGCACATCAAGACAGGCCTAGTGGACGCTCACCTGTATTGCCTGAAGAAAGCAGTGGTGGATTTTCTCACAGAAAACAAGTGAATTTTTCATTCTTTTTATGTATTTATAAATACGTCTACAGAATATAAACCATCACACTTTGAATGTCTATTTGAATAACTTCTAAACCTTCTATCTGACATCTCTCCCATTACCAAGCCACTTGGTATGCAGCATAAATTTACTCCCACAGTCACGGTCAACAAAAACTCTCATTCTCTGCTTGATCTGTATGAAGTGTTAAACGTTGTTGCTGGATGTAAAAGGCTTTGAAACGTCCTGTGAGCAGGATATTCTTGTGAGGTGTTAATTTGTTTTACTATGTGTCGCCGAGGCAGGCTGTTAGGCCTTGAGGTTCTGAAGGGAGGCAGTGGGAAGAGAAGGCTTCTGTAACTGCTTGGACCCAAGGTTGCAGGACAATGTCAGGGGGAAAAAAAATTAAACGGCAATCATGACTGCCAGTGGTGAACTTTGGGGATTAGAACTGCTGTAAGTGATGGAAGACTTTTATTAGGAATGAGTGTGATGATAAATCACCCAACTTCATTGATTCAATTTTAAGGAAAGTTTTTACTTTAAGTGAATGCTCAGTGGAAATTAGAACCTGATTTCCAGTCGAACCACAGTGTGTGTGTGTGTGTGCGGGCGTGTGTGATTGTAAAGTAAATGATTTAACGCATTAATTTCTAATGCTCTATGAATCAGGGGTGGCCCATTTTGTGGTGTACTTACTGTGTATTAGCCATGAGTTTGTTTTCACTATGAATCAGCGGCTGTTTCCTGTCCTCGTCGCTCGTGCCTCACCAGCGAAACCTGCTGGTCATGCTGTTCTCATGAGCAGCTTTTGCAGAATTAGTGAGTTTAGAGTAACTTTACATACAGTAAGTTATAAACATCACTATTCCATGTGATTATATTGACATTCTATGACGCAGCATCACGTCTAAAATCAAGTTATAATGGATTATTATGGAAATACAGATGTTTATTAAACTCATAGATGCCATTGGAATTACAGTACTTGATAATACTTGAGAATACAGGAATTAAATGAGATTAACTAGATTATTAGATCAGAGCAATGACCCCCTGACTAATGGTCTATGGACCCTAAAGGGTCTGGGGACCTCTGGTTGAGAACTACTGCCCTAGGGAATGCAGGGGAGTATGCATAAGCATTTTGTGGTGTTCTTATTTTGTTTTGATTAAATATATATATATATATATATTTTTTTTTTTTTTTTTTGTGTCTCAAATGACAAAAGTTCAAAAGTTGTTCAGAATCTCTTAGTTTATACTGCAGTCACAATGCAACATCAATGAAACAGGCTTGTTACCTAGTTCCACCGACACTTCACTACTGACACTGCAAAGACCTTCTGGTCCAGATTTATTACTTTAATATACAGTGTTTCACGGAAACAGTAATTGAACACCAGTCTGAAATTCAATACCTCTGCTTTTAAGATCTCACACGATGCACTTTCCAAGAGGAAATGTAGGTAAAAATTAAAAGACTAAAATATATATATTAGTTCGGCTGGATGACAGCAGAGCTGGATTCAAGTGCACTCCAGGCAAGGCTGCAAATTTCCAAACAGCATGGTACCAGCAGTTCAGAAAACAGGGCTGTAATCTGTCCACACTGACGTGCATATTAAGTCAAATGTTGGATCAGATCCCATTGAAATGTTGGTGCCAGACTAAATGTTAAAATGTGGAAATCTGTTGTTACCCGTGGTTAAATGTAGTGTGTCCTCACTAGATGAGTTGCTGTTCACACATAAATAAATCTGAGGGCCAATCCAACACATCCCACAATTCACAGCTAGCTCTCTGTGCCTCCTTTTTTTTTTTTTGGAAAAGGAGGGGGTTACACTTGAATTGCCATCGATATAAATCTTACATCATTACATCACTACTACACCCTCTGCCGCTACCATATATCTTCTCCCTTGTTAGATGACTCATTTCTGTCTACAGCTCCTTTCTTGGACTTTTCTTTCACAGCTCCTCTGTCTCGCTTCCTTTCTCCTCCATGTGCTCTTTCTGTCTTTTGCTGGAGAGAAATGGACAGAGTAACTCTTGTTTTTCTCTTGTCATTCAGATGGAAATTCTAATCTCCCTTTAAAAAGAAAGTAAGAGTGTGTGTGTGTGTGTGTGTGTGTGTGTGTGTGTGTGTGTGTGCGTGGTGGGGGTCCTGCTTAGCACAGTGAGAGAGGAGAAGGAGTGAGAGTTTGGTCAAATTATCCTTAGTTTTTACATTGACTGGAAACTGGGTTCATCCAGTACCTTTGGCTGTACGGTGGTAAAAATGACACACGCACGAAATGCACATTTCTGACAGTAACTTTTTAATAAGTTCAAGGTAGTAATCTTGATGCTTTTTTTTCCTCTTTCTTTCCCTGGCACTTACTGGCATGCTCTCCATGATGTACCAGTACTCAAAACCAAGTCCAGCTTTATTAACTCCATCCTTTTACTAACACCACATACATAAAAGAGTAAAACATATATATATATATATATTGATATATATATATATTTCTCCAAACTATCATATTAGGTGTATTTGCTGTGTGTTTATAATCAAACAGGACGTAGCTCCCCTTCTTTCCTGTAGGGGCTGATAATAAAGTTGTGATCCATACATTGAGTGTACTAAAAATGTAATAATAATGAAAATAATAAATGTAACCAATATGAATTATAATGGATACAATTATTTAACTTTTTATTAGCAATGTATTTTTATTCTAAGATATCACATCCTCACCTTTACTGATATTCTTGAATTTGCAGATTGCTGCATTTCTGGACAACATGTAACGCATGTTTATTTATTTTTTTCTACACAGGTCCATCACATCAATCCGTGGCGAGTTGATACCATATTTGGTTCGCAAGCAGTTTTCCAAAACGATCAACAGTCACAAGACGAAAGACGACACAGATGATCAGAGCCAGGAAAAGACCGAGCAGTCTAAAGGCCAAGGTCAGGGTCTTGAATGACTTTTTTTGTCCGTGTTGGAGGACAAACGTTTAGCAGTTACTAAACTGTAAACAAGTTTTAAATAGCAATCCCATTCAACGTCATTTTAATGTGTAATTTCTCTCTGTTTTGCCAAATATTTATGTCTCAGTATCTCATTTTGTTCTT